GAAGCACTGTGATATCCGTGCTTGTCCACACAGAGTTTAGTAGTATCGGTTCAGTGTTTGTGTTCGTGGGATTCTTCCTGCTGGTTATTTAGGGAAGTGTAGACTGACTACAAAGCAAGATTCACTCTAACAAGAAACACACTGAAACAATATTTGTTTCCTGTGTTTCTAACAGGAGCAATACCAGTTTATATACGACGCCGTGGAGGCCGCGTTCCCCGTTCAAAACGGGGAAGTGAAACCGGTGCAGGCCTCTGCAGCCGACTCGGTGCAGATCGTCAACGAGACGAAAGCGGCCGAGCAGAAAGACGAAGGCAAGGCTGAGGAGCCAGCCAGCACTACCAGCAATGAGCAGCAGGCGGCAGCAGAGAGCACTCCTCTGGTGCCGGACGGAGACAAAGAAGAGAAGAAAGAGGAGGCGGAGAAAGAGGCCCCACCCACGGAGACCACGCCGCTGGACGACACCAGCGACGGTCCCGCTGTCACGGTGGAGGTGTGAGCGTGACGTGACTGTGTCCACTGATGGGAAGAAGCGCTTCAGTTTTATGCTTTTTTAAATTACCTTATGAATGTATAAACATTGTAAAGCTTTTAGATTTGTGGAAGAATTTGACCAAATATCTCATGTCAGTTTCCAAAATGTTTGATTTAAATTAAGTTATAAATGTTTCTGGATGCAAATGTAATTTCTCTCTTTTCACAAAGTTTACCAGCACAGCTGTCATCAAACTGGAGCCTTTACTGGGTATTTAAAGGCGTCTAACAACTAAATCTGAAATATACAGCAGACGAGTTGTTTTGTCCTCTACGCTGTTATTTAGTTCATCTTCTGTTTTCCTCATTTATACATAGTAACAAGCATTTTTTTGAACATTTAGTTAAAGTCAGTGTTTTATGGCACATTGCGTTTTTTGTTACAGTTGTATTTATGCGTTGTATTTGCTCACTGTCATCGGCTTTGTTAAGCATATCTTTAAAAGATAAGTATGTTTCTCACTCAGCTTCTTACTACAGGAACACTGAAAGGTTTGAAGTATTTGTTTGTATATTTCTCCCACTAATGAAGTTGGAGCAACATTTGAATCAACATTTTTTGGTTGTGCTGGTTTGAGTTTCTTTGAGTCACACCAGTAACGTACTCGTGGAGCAGACTAGGTCAACAGTTTCCTTTTTCGTTTGCAATAAATTTACCTGATGACATTTTACTCTGGATCTTTCCTTGAATAGAAAAATGTGCGAGATCTGAAAACGAGCTCAAATCTTCAGGAGGTTTAAATCATACACGTGTCTTTGTTCTTCATATTAGTAATTATCAGTGTTGGAGACGCGGTACAAACAGTATAACATACTTATA